TCTTTGATCCTTTTTGTATCAGTTACTATCCATTGGCATCATTTATGTCCATTGGCATCTTTTAGCATACCAGTTTGGGGTTAGATCTTCCTTTTGAGTTAAGAGATCTTTTGGAAGACTTTTCCTTGCTTTTTCTTGTCTCTGTCCATTTCTGTTACATACATTGTTATACTATTGCTTGTCTTTTCTAACAGCTGTCCAAAATGTGTTAAGTTCTTCCTGAGATCTTTATCTTTGGATTTTTCTCTTGGCAGTTTCTGCTATTTGTTCTGACATCCACTATAGTTTCTTCTATTTCATGATTTTTGACAGTCTCTTTTCACATTCATCCTTAATAACTTCCCTCTGGTCCCTATCAATGAGGTTCAGAACTTCAAAACAATTCTGATGTTCTTGAAAATGGTGAGTATATGCTCAAGATTGTATTATGGAAACTGGTCAGGTTTTTTTTTCACTTTAGCTTGACTTGAAACTTGCTTATGAGCTGCTTGTTCCATAGTCATCCTGACCATGATTTTGCTATTATCATTCATCTTTTCTACCGTCTTGTACCAGTAACTTAGTCAAATTGATTTCTAGGTACTTCATATATTCATGTATACAGGCATTGTTCTGATTGTTGGAAAAATGTGTTAGCGTGAATATGTTAATTAGAGAGGCACAAATAATATATTTTCCTGATAAATTTCAGTGTTCTGAACTATACAGTCCTACTGTATTTCCTCAATTGTGGGGAAACTGATTGGCTTTGTTGTTGCCTAACTCTCCCTAAAATAAAGCTGTATACAAACTGCTTAGAGTTTCCAGTTTGGCATTCAGGCAAACTTTAAACCTCATTATGAACTCTTCATAATTTTTAATGGGCTGTAATTTTTTATTTGCCTTCATTGCTGATTTTTTTTTAAAAGAATCCAACACAAATCAATATTGGTCGTAACACTTTTTAATAAGCAGAGATAATTCTTTGTATTCTTGTATGAAATTACTTCTTCAATATTTTGTGTTTATTTTTAAAGATTTAGGTTGCTTACACCTCAGCTTCTTCACCATTCAGTTGAATAGTCCATCACTTAACAGCAGTTGCATTATAGACAAGAGTTCTTCATTTATATTTATTGGAATATGAGTTTTAGATTGATTTAATCTTCTATTCTACTTTATCCACCATGAAATTGAATGCCACATGGTGACAGGTACAATTGTTCGTTCAGTGACTGTTTAAAATTATGATGGCGTTAAGTGGACAACCTTCCGCCTGAAGTTACCCCATTGCAGCATCCCTGCCATCATGTAATTGTGGTCTGGGCTTTTGTAACCCATTCACACTTAAGACGGATTGCCAAAGTTTCTGCGATCATGTGATTGCCATTTGCAATCTTCCGTCCCAGCATCCTCAGAAAATCAACAAGGAAGCTGGCAGGGAAGGTTTCAGGTTGCTGCCACGGGACTCACTCTGGTTCCTGAGGGCTGGCTGAAAAAGGTTCATCAGCACCCATTTCGGGGCAGCCCATTGTGAGGCAGTCCATTTCCACTCTCCAACGGAAATGGAGAGTGGAAGAGCTGTCTGCCAGATTGATTTCGCTCCCAGCGGGATGGAGTCCCTTGGCAAAGCAGTCCTTCTGCTCCCAGAGGCTGGCTGGAAAGGTCCATGGCAAAAACCAAGAAGGATTTTAGTCCGGGGTACTTGCAGCATGGAGCTCTTAGAGCCAGGCTGGCTCCCAACACTTCATGCTTCAACACCTTCCAGTGAAAATCCCACTTTACCTAGTTCGGGGCAGAATCCCTTTGTGAAGCCGTTGCTCCCAAAGATGCTGGTTGGAAGAAGCCCTTCTCCCCTTTCAGAAAGGTAACATTTGCTGGCTTTCTAGCCAGAAGGCCAGCAAATTCAGTGTTTCTAAAGGCTGGCTAGAAGAGCCAGGATAGCAATTGTTGAGCAAGGCAGTCACATGGGTGCCTCACTCAACAACTGTCACGACTTGCGGCTGTAATTCGCTGTCTCCATTACAGTTGTACATCAAGGACTATATACTAAAAGACTTGCTCGCATACTCTCAAGTAATTGATTTTGGTCAGCTTTATAAATTGCAATCTACATTTAACAAAAGGATGTTCTAGGATCAAATCTGATACCAGTTTTGTTCGGTCAGGTGTATTTCTGTATTGTTCATGCTATTTTAACTAATAATATAGATACTGGCTTTATTCTCAGTAGTATATCCTATCTTAAAATGTATTCGTAGAATTTTCAAGGTGGGGTGATTTCAAATCAGCTAAATTATTTAATAAAACCATGTAGTTTTTTAATCACACATTACTAAAAATAGCTCCCATCTATGTACTATTATTTTCAATATCGAATTAGCCTCATTGTTCAATATTTGAAATCCCATTTTATTTATCCTGCATCCTAATCTTCAAGCATCAAGAATCAGCACTACATATTTTGTGTGCCTGATAAAGTTTAAATAGACATTTGGTACATTTAAACTAATTCTGCCACTCATTTCTGTATCATGACAGACAAAAGGATCATTTACCTATATCTCATTCACTAAGTCTTCCCCTTAATATTCAATTACTGCTTCTGTTTATGCAACACCCATTCCTAATTTTGTAACCTGATTGTTTCTAGCCATTTGTAGCCAGTATACAAAATATTATTTCCGTTGCCAGAGATTTGTGATTAATTGCTAAGTGCCATTTATCAGCTTATTCCTGATAGGATTATGCTTGAACCTTAGATTAAGATTAAAAGATTCTTGATAGAATATAGTTATTACTTGGGAGTATATGTATATGTTTCTACCTCCCTCGATTTTGGTTACATAAGCGTCAAGCAACTAATTAGCATGGAGGAAATCTGCTATTTGCGTAGATATTTTGGCTCAGAAGCTTTACTAATTAACATCAACAGAAGGTACTTGTTACATGTGTACAAAAGTGCAACATCTGCTATTTTAGACATGAGAAATAAGATTCCTTGACTGTGGAACCACTGTGTTATTAATGCTATGTACTACACAAATCAACCATGCAAAGCCACTTTTAAACAGTCACAATCATGTTGAGCCAGTCTCCCACAGAGTGTCATTTTTGGTAGAAAGACATTGTATAAGTTAAATACATTAAACCACTTCTTAGATTTAGTACTAGGTACTAGAAATGGTATTAGTATCAGGCCAGAAAAAAATACTCAATATTTAGGTGTCTTAGTAGTCAAATGATACATTTAATTTGTTTAGGCTTGAAAACCAAAGAAGGCTCCCAGTTCTTAAACTATCTTTGTAATGAATAAGCAAAATAGTCTGAAAGATTAATTTACATTCTCATGTGGAACTATTATGATTCCATATTGGTTAGCACAATTTGTTTTCTAACACTTTAAAGTTATATCCAAATATTCATTGCTGTATTGACAGCTATGCTGTGTAAAAGCTTAAAACTTTCAGAGTTGCTTCTTGTAGGTCCCAATTACAAGTTTTAGGGGACTTTTTTATGTATTGTCTTCAAAACTTGTACAATTTGTTCAAACTGTGGTATAACCAATACTGCTCAGATCAAATTATTTTGTTAATGTATTTCAGGGTTAACTTGACACTGTGTTTAAATTTTAATTTGATAGTATGTATTTTTTCATTAGTGTAATTGAATATATAAATCTGGAGTAACTTGTAAGAGAAATGTGTACAAATAAAATCTATTGCTTATGTAAGATTACCCAAATGTGGAAAATATTTAATGGGGGAGGTGTATTGCATTGGATTCCAAGGAAAGTTGCTTCAGCTTGTTTATGGGTGCATAGATAACATCTTCCAGCAACTCTTTAAACCAAAAGCTGCTGTTCTTTCCATGAATTATTAGTCAGCAATGTGCAATCCCAAGAAACGGAGGTTGGTTTGGCAGGTGGGAGATATCTATCAGGTTTATGGTTTAAGAAGTTGCCAGTGGTTACTACTTTGCATTCTTTGTTTAACACCTTATATAGCAAGTTGGGGAACTGCACATTAACCACCCATGCTTGTGACCTTACAGACCAGATGTTATGGGGGATATCCTTTTAGCCAAAACTTGATTCCACCCTTTCATTCTTTGTGAGATATTGCTTCTAATGTTCTTATTTTGCTGAACAATCAGCTTTGTCAATTAAAAGAGGTCAATCATAAGCAACATTAAGAGCTCCAACTCATTAAAAGGATTCCACAATGATAAATGAAGAATGCAACTGAAGTTGGTTTGGCAGGTGGGAGATACATATCAGGTTCATGGTTTCTCTAAAGCAGTGGTTCTCAACCTGTGGGTCGGGACCCCTTTGGGGGTCAAACAACCCTTTCACAGGGGTCGCCTAAGACCATCTGAAAACACATATTTCCGATGGTCTTAGGAACCGAGACACCGCTCCTCTATCTCCTTTCCCTCCTCTTCCTCCTCCCCTTCTTCCTCCTGCTGCCCCCCAGGCGGCTCGGGCGGGCACCGGGACAAGCTGGATGGGGGGTTGGGGGTCACCACAACATGAGGAACTATATTAAAGGGTCGCGGCATTAGGAAGGTTGAGAACCACTGCTCTAAAGTGATCTTATTTAATGCTCCTCTATGAAGAATACTATTCCAATCGAGTCTCCCGGACAGGAAGTTTTCTATGTGTATGAAAATCAACTAGTTAGAAACAAAGCTTCTCCATAGTTTACCACCCTTTCTTCCAAAACACTATTTATTCTAGGATTTATTTGCAGTTTGCCTCATTCTTCAAATTTTAATTTCCAAATTGTAACTTTAAAATCTAGTTTGCAGCTTTTTATATTAAATGATAAAAAAGATGTAAAAATAGCACCTTCACCTCAACCAGTGAGAGGATTTCCCAACTTCTGAAAATTGTAATTTAAGTATGGCAAACACACACTTTACTCAGTGAAAGTGGAAAACAAGTAGTCCAAACATGTTGTCCCGAAACCATCTAATATGGTTTACATTTGTAATAAAAGGGACAAAAACTCATCCACCTGTACCTGTTTGACACCATCATCCTGAATTTTTATTTGAAATTCCTCATGTATGATACCATAAGCCTTCATACAACTAATCCAAAACCAGAGTTACTGGAACTTGCCTCCAAACCCACTGGGTATGTCTTAACATATAGTAGTGCAAAATTCACACACACACAAGTCGTTTCTCTCTGTAGACTTGGATGGTTCTCTTCTACAGCAACATAATATTTCCACAGCTATTTTTGGAGGTTGTCAAGACAAAGCAGGAAAATCCTCAGGATCATCTGGGTTTGGAGCAGCAACATGGATCTAAAGGGAAAAGCGAAAAGCAAAGCCAGATCAGTTAGATAAGAGCTGCTTATTTGTTTATTAAGAAGCACATAATTTTGGCTTTGTTCATTAAGTTGCTGCAATAGTCCAAGAACTATTTACTGTTAGGTTTATCCGAAATGTTTTAAACTATACATTTGATTAATATTAAGGTTTTCTTTTTCTAGCTTTATTTATTCAACCCAGACTTTTGAAAATTCAGAGACTCAGAAAGTATGTCCAGTGGATCCAAGTAGTTTTCTTAGGAAGGAGTAGGTTCTGAAGAAATATTTTTAAAAATGCAGATTTTTCAGTACATCTACACATCCTGTGATTTTTGTTGCCTTCTTTCTGCCCACGGACAATGCCATTTTGATTAGGCAGCTGTATTACAGCACTGAAGTAGCCAGAGATTAGAATTAGCACATGGAAATTACCATCACTCCCTGCCTTGGCCATGAGTTGTCAACTCTTCGGACACGCCCGCGACTTCCTCGTGCCCCTCTGGCTCCTCTTCCAGGACGAGGCAGATTCCCAAAGTTAATGTCCAGTTGAGAAGTGATATCATTTGCTGCTTTTCGGGAAAAGTGAGAATCATCCTCAAAATCTTCCTTCAGGACCTGTAATAAAAATACATCCATGTTTTTTTAAGAAAAGCATGCTTGAATATCAAAAACAGCATTGAAGAAGGTGCAAAAAAAAATAATCATTGATCAAAGGTTTCTAAAAGATTACTGAATCCAGTAATTTAATTAAATATTATTTAATCCATGTTTTGTCCCAATGAATCTACAAAACGCCCTAACCATTGAATAACAAACAATTCAAAACCCATGTAACAAAGGAAGTTCATCAAGGGAAAGCCGCAAATAGCAAAATAAAAATATACCTTGAAAAGAAGGCAACCATTTTAAAATAGAAGCAAGGAGTGAATGTCACAATTTTAATGCCACTGCTGAAGCAACTCAATCCCAGGGCCTCAACTACCATATTAAAAAAGGCAGAGAAACCAAAACAAGGACTCTTTGAGGATGATTTTGAAGTAAAGAATATAAGCAAGGTGGCCCTTGGGTATCTTCTAAGCTTCTTACCCCTTGTGAGAATTATTTTATGAACTATGTTAAGATAGTCTAGGACAGGTAGTCCTTGACCTACAGCAATTCATTTAATGATGGTTCGAAGTTACAATGGCACTGAAAAAAGTGACCTATGACCATTTTTAACACCACTGCAGCATCCCCATGGTCACGTGATCAAAATTCAGATGCTTGGCAACTAACTCATATTTATGACGGTTGCAATGTCCCGGGGTCATGTGATCCCTTTCTGTGACCTTACAGCAAAGTCAATGGGAAGCCAGATTCACTTAACAATTGTGGCAAGAAACATTGTAAAATGGATCAA